TTCTTTCTTGTAGAGTGCCAAGCCCCTCCTAAAATCCTCAATGGGCAAAAGGAATATCGACATAGGATGCGCTTTGAGCCTGGAACATCCATAAAATACAGCTGTGACCCTGGCTATGTGCTGGTGGGCGAAGAATCCATAAATTGTACCTCTGACGGGGTGTGGACACCCACTGTCCCCAAATGCAAAGGTATCAGGACTTGCATGCAGATGTTTTGTAGTTTTGAGATCGCTTGAGTTGATTTCTCATCCTTGCCTCTTTTTTTAAGTGGCAGAGTGTGAACCTATAGGAAAGTATCTCTACAAAAAACCTCAGAATCAATTGATTAGACCAGATGTTAACTCTTCTTGCGATGAAGGGTGAGTGAGTGCTGGCTCAGCCTGAACTGCGTCTGGCTTATCAGCGCATACTGCAGGCTCTGTGTAAGCGTTTACCTCAAAGCCCTTCCCTGGCCCGTGTCCATGGAAGTGCTAATCTTGCTAGTTTTCCATGTATGGGAACTACTCCTGTGCAATGGGTGATGGAGCGGATGCTGGCTGCATTCTGTTCCTATTGCTTCTTGTCCTGAACGTGGTGAGTCTGCTTTTGAGCCAATAGCGCTTGCTTAGTTTAATGGTCACTAGACGGCAAAATGACGCGACTCTATCTCTAGGTCCAGGTTAGGTGAGAGTGTTTATCAGCTGTGTCAAGGCACCATTCCTTGGTATATGGAGATTCGTCTTTGTAAAGGTGAGTAGCAAAAAATAACAGAGAACCTGAGATCATGTGACACCTCTGCATGCCCTGGGAGATTTCTGTTTTGGGCTATGCTGTGGGAATAAGAATATTAGCCTCTGTTCCATTAAATTTGTCAACAGTTTTTCTGTCTTTCTACTGTCCCCTCTATCTACATCAAAGCATAGCAATCGCTTAATTTAAATGTTTGCAGTTAATGGTTCTCCTTTGTGATTTAAGTGTATAAGATGATAAAAGCAGTGAGTAGATCAGCCACCATGTTTAATTTTGCGTACACTGTAGTTTAGTGGGGGAAAAAAGGATATTGATGTGGGATCTGATATCTTATTCTGTATCTCCTGCTTCATATGAAATTGGGTGATTTATGCAATTTCTCTGTGACTCTATCCCCTCATCTGTAAAATCAGCATAAGACTTCAGACTGCAAAGTTATTGCCTACCAAAGTATATACTCAATCAACAACAAATATTCATGGCTAAACTACTGTATCACCTCAGCACTAAAATGGCATGCAAAAGAAGCTCAATTCTATGTTTCCATGACTTTTATTCAACTACTAGAGGCCCAGTGCACAAAAATTTGTGCACTCGGGGGGTCCCTCAGCCTGGCCTGTGTAGATTTATATATTTGTTTGTTTGTTCCCCGCCACATCCCGCATGGTTCAGGGTTCAGGATCTGGAAGAGGGGCCACACACAAATGAAAGAGACAAGAGATAATTTGAAAATATTGGGAGGCCAGGCGAGTAAATCCAACTCAAGGGGAAGGACTTCCACTGGTGCTCAGGCCTCGCCAACCTTTTATTGGTTTGGGATACACCCATAACCTTTAGGCAGGCAATTTTCAGTAAGAGGCAGACTTGCCCTTTAGCAAGGATTTACATAATAATAAATGGGGAAGTTGCTTCAGCTACCCAGCTACCATTGTCTGGACTAACAGTGGGTGCACAGCTCTGACCTTTGCCAGGGCTTCAAGGGTCACCAGATTTCCAGTTCCTTGTCCACACCTCTCTGCTAGTGAAGACAATAGGCAGCTTCCCACATCTCCCCCTTCTCTTTTCCTTAAAAAATCTTGAAAAGTGAATGCCACCTAAAAGGGTTTGAGTCCTTTCAAGACTCTTCATTCTGCATCTGCAGACTAGAAATAAACATGAGAACAAAAATGAGACAAGCAGTAGTGGTTATGCTGAGAGGCAAATGTCATATCCTTTTTAAATTGCTGCCAGATATCCAAGGAATCAGTCTGTAGTAAGTTTCTTTCTGGGCCAACAGTTCTTTGAGTCCCAATTTCAATGTCCAACAGTTATGTGTACATTCCGGTAATGATATGCTAGTTCTGGATGGTAGACAAACAGTGGCAATGCAGGTCTGACCCTCTCTGGCTTGGTCCTGGGCAACCTGCAGCGACGCACAGCTGCTGACTGCTAGCATGGTAAGGCGTCTTCACCATCTTCATCTCTGAACTGTCTCTCCTCTTGTCTTTGTGGCTGGAGCAATCTGGTCAGTTCCTCTCTGGGATCCGTTATTACAGGAATCCACACGGGCTTGGAGGAGTTTTCTGGAAATATACAAACATATTCTCTACCAAAGGTTAATAAAGGAATCTTTCTATAAACTAGACTTGGGATCCTTTCAATATTTGCCCAAATGATTTTCCTTTGGCTTATTTTGACACCATGTGTGTTTTCATGGGTGTCTTGTCTTCAACATTACAAGTGAAAAATAATTTTTAAAGTAAAATTTTCTTGATGTAATTTACTCACAGGGGATTATTCCACTATTCCCCCTCTTTTTTGATTTAAATAATGTTAAGAGGCTTTTGGAAATTTTGCAATGCAGTCTTGATAACTTTTTAATTTTAATTTTATGTACAGAAATATGACTGGTTTGGATTCATTGCATGTTAAGTAAGTTTACTATGATATAACCATTAGTAAAAAATTAGTTAATGCTTCAGGAACAGTTTCCTGCCCAGGAACAACAAAGTTTTTATGAATATGCATTTATTTTAATTAGCCAATTTAAATCAATCTGAAATAAGATTTATTTTTTAACTTTACTTGTCCTAAGTAATGGACAGTAAATGACATTAATTAAATTTCTGGTATTAGTCTTTGGGTAACTTTACATAAACTTTGTTTAGGGAGGCAAAACACAAATTACTTACTTAGCTTACGAGGCCCAATATATTGATTTTATTTATAGTTAGACATCTAAAGGAAACCTCTTTTTATTTCCTTCCAGACACTTTTCTTTCTCACACAAGCAACAAATGTAAGAAACATGGTTGCTTTTTGAGATTTTAACAAATACTGCCATAAAGCCATATATTTCAAGTGATTTTTCATTTATGGTGACTGTAATTATTGTCAGATTTAGTATTTTAACAACAATCTTAGTTTACCCTGTAAATATTAGCAATTATATTTTTAAAGAGTATCCCCCTTTGGCTTATTTGCATATACAGAGGGATTATGGGAGGTTTCAGTAATTTTCCTAGACTTTACTTGGATTCAATTATAGTTTCAGCATATAAAGAATAAATAACATGTAAGATTTTAAAATGAGGCACATGGCTTATTGCAAACAGTGTATTGAGCATTGAAAATAATTCATAAACTCCTAATCTGTGAAACGCAAATACCTCAAGCATCACTGGCAGATGCCCCCACAGGGAATCATGACTCTTGACTTGCCCAGTGTCCCTGACTCGACACATGCTACCCTCCTGAGAGTTTCCTGTTTGAACTTGGCTCTGAATCTTCGCAAGTTCCTTTCTGAGGCAGATGCCTTAGCAACCCAGGTGACCTATTCCTTGCTCTTTTTTTAAAAAAATATATTTTATTGATTTTTTTACAGAGAGGAAGGGAGAGGGATACAGAGTTAGAAACATCGATGAGAGAGAAACATCAATCAGCTGCCTCCTGCACACCCCCTACTGGGGATGTGCCTGCAACCAAGGTACATGCCCTTGACCGGAATCGAACCTGGGACCCTTGAGTCTGCAGGCTGATGCTCTATCCATTAAGCCAAACCAGTCAGGGCTATTCCTTGCTCTTGATTGGAGCTCAGGTGCACGATCTTTCCCGATTGGCTAATTCAAAGGGAGGGGTTGGCCTTTGCTGTTTCAAGATGGCAGCCCCCAGGGGAGTGGCAAGCCATGCGGCCAACATGGCGGCTGCCAAATCATGCAGCCCAAAATGGCGGCTGTCTACACTGTTCTTTGCAATTAATTAAACTTGTTTTTGTATAAAAAATTTCAGTTGAGATCACAGAATTAATCCTCTTTTTTAAATTAGAACAATAATCAACATATTTTGAATTCCTAATTATTTCTGAGAAAACAAAAATTGTTTTTCTAAAAATAAATTTCTACACTTTAGGCATTTAGCTACCACAACTACACAGTTTCTCCCAATTCAATCCTAACCTTAAACTTTTAGCTGGCAAGTCAAATATTTAGCATTTCTTTAGATTAATAACATTAAAAATTTTTCAAGAATAAATTTCAAAAATACAAGACATAACCAATTAATAGATTTAATTTTGCCCTCTAGATTTTTCATGAGGCAAATTTAGATTACTATTTCAGTATTTTGTCATTTCAAACATACCTAGATATAAGTTTTTATCGTTTGATTCAGTAAACTCCAAGGTCCCAAAGGTCCCAAGTTCCCAGCGGCTCTGGAAAACCATGCTTGAGTCTGGCAAAATAGGCTTGGCCTACCCCCTTGACTTTAAAACGACCATAATTTTTTTTTTTGGTGGGGGGGGATGCAGGGGGGAGTCAAGAAGCAAACCTGTAGCTACATTGTTTCCTGCCAGTTGCTTGCCGGCGGGAAATTTCAAAATTGGCCACGAGATCGCAGCCGAGGGAAAACTGTTTTCCACTGGCGAAAGAAGTTTGGTCTAACCTGGTCCATTTAAATGTCAAAGAGCTAAGCTAGTTTCTCCCTTTACACGTGCACAGAAATCCCAGGCGCATTTTTAAATGTTGTAAAACTTTTCATGGCGAGGAGACTTTTACTAGCTCACTCGGGAAGGGGACAGGATCACCTCGTGTCTCCCTTCCCCCACCTCCTGCTTACTTTTCATAAGTTATTTGAGCATTCAGCCCGTGGTTTGCAAAGGGCTTGCTCCTGGCATTTCTATGATAGGAAAAGCAAGCCTTTCTTCCACCACCATGTCCTTCAGTCCTTCTCGGATGGCTCTTTGCACAGGTGATTCTATTAATGGTGAATTAAACATTTCAGGATTAGGACATGGAGGTGGAGGGGGCCATGCAGGCCATTCCTCCCATTTTGTCTTTTCTTTCTGCTCCTCTTTAGGAGCAGAGGGTGCAAGGGGAGGAGGTTTATCCTCCTTGGCCTCTCCTAAAGGCTCTAGCAAATGAAATACCGTGTTCCACAAGGGAAAACAGTTTGGAGGCAAGTTTTTTCCCTGCTGCTGAGCTTTTTTCAAGTTCTGACTAACTCTTTGCCAAACATTCAAAATTTAATGTACCTTCTTCAGGAAAACAAGGGTTATGTTCTATAATAACATGCAAAAACTGTAAGAGATTACTTTCTGAAACTTTAACTCCTTAAACATGCAAATCAAAAGTCTATAATAAAGTTTCTTACTTTTTAAGCTGAATTCTGCCCCATTAGCCTGGCTAAGGAAACATTCCCACCCTACTTACAGACTGAGAATTCTGCAGCTGATCGTGGGCTTTGTGTGCGGTGAAATATCTTCCCCACCTATACGGTGAATTCTTCATCTTTATGGTGAATCTTCAGTTTTTTCACTCTAGGCAAAGTCTTCTCTTCCAGATGTCCCATTGAGGCGCCAGATGTGTAGAGTTGTATGTTTGTTTGTTTGTTTGTTTGTTTGTTCCCCCCACGTCCCGCGTGGTTCAGGGTACAGGAATTGGAAGAGGGGCCACACACAAATGAAAGATACAAGACAAGAGATAATTTGGAAATATTGGGGGGCCAGGGGGGCAAGTCCAACTCAAGGGGAAGGACTTCCACTGGTGCTCAGGCCTCGCCAAACTTTTATTGGTTAGGGATACACCCATAGCCCTTAGGCAGGCAATTTCCAGTAACAGGCAGGCTTGCCCTT